CTGTTTTGTGGATGTCACGTGGATCCATTTCAACATGCCAAAATCCCCAACGAATGTCGAGTACGGAGAAGACTTTTGAGCCATGCATGCGGTCAATAATGTCTTGAACTCGAGGCATGGGTTGCATGTCAGGTATAGTCTTAATGTTCAATAATCTGTAGTCAATACATAGTCTTTTTGAGCCATCTTTCTTGGAGACGACGGTAACGGGACTGCTGTATTGTGAAGTGCTTAAACGTATCATGCGTTGATCTAGTAGTTCTTTAACTTGTCTTTCGATTTCTATGTTATCTGTTTCTGAACAGCGGTATGGATATCTGCGAATAGGAATATCGTCTGTCAAGCGGATGCGGTGTTTCTCTAACGGTATGCGTCCAAGCGTTGAATTGTACTCAGAGAAACAATCTTTGAATTCGTTGAGCAATATGTCTTTAGGTGACCCAGTCGGTTGGGCATGAGGCGGCAGCGGCCGTCGCAATGTATTGTTGCAAACAGGAGTTGAGGGCAGGTATGCAGTCTTTGTGGCAACGTGTAAGACAATTGGGAAATATTTGCCAATGTTTATGCCAAGGAGTAGATCGTACGGGAAATTGCGTAGAACCTCGGCTTCAATAACATGTGACAATCGGCCAATTGTTACGTTGAAGCGGACTGATCCAATGCTCTTTGCTTGTCCTTTTGCGAGAATAATTGTGCTTGATTTGTCAGTTTCAGGCTTTAGGTTTAATTGCTTTGCAATCTGGGAGCTCATTATGTGCACGTTAGAGGCGGTGTCCATGATCGCACGTATGGTCTGTCCATTGATTGTTGTGCGAATCGGAATGAACGAGTCTTTGGCTTTGAGATGTGCAGAGAAGTTTTGTTGATCTATTTCTGTCGGCTTGATCATTGCATTAGAGACGCTGTCATTTGGTTCATTATGCGATGCTGTGTCTGTGGGCGCGCTTGGGCGGATAGGGCAGTCTTTGTGCCAATGATATTCTATCTTATTCTGGAATTTGCATTACTTGCACGGGAAGCGGGGCTTAGTATTCTCGTAGTCACGTTTTTGTTGTGATCTGAACTGTTTGTGTGTGTCACTGGTCTGAGCGGGATAACGGCTATGCGAGGGCTGAGGCGCGGGTGATTGCATGTTGTAGTTTGAGGTACCAACAGGTCTACGAATGTCTGGTGGTCGCTTTTGCAATTGCAATAGGTTGGCTTCAGTAATGGAGGCAATAGTTATCCAATCGTTAGTGGTCTTAGGTTGGGCGGCGAGAAGTACGGACTTGTATGACCATGGCATACCTTGGGTCAGTTCAGCGCATTGGTCGCGTTCACTAAGGCCTGTTTGTCTCAAGAGGGCTACTTTCTCATCATAATAATTCTTAACATTATCGGCTTTTGTTAATCTACGGTTCTGAGCCAAAATGTTGGGCGATATTAGGGAAGTACTGAATCTATTGGTCAATAGGTCCTTGCATGCTTGCCAGGACATTGTTGAGATATGTTGTGCAATATCTGTTGCAAAGAACTCTAAGGCCTCAGACTCTAGATATGACATGAGTTCTGTCAGCTTGAGTTCATCACTGGCCTGGTTTTTAGCTACAATTTCAAATAATACTAGCCATGATTGAATGGTAGGAACCTTATCCTTTCCTGAATATTTGGATATCTTAGGCTTAAGAGGGGTTGGCTGCGACATATTTAAAAATGGCGGCTGTGTAACAGGAAGTGTGTTTGCAATAGAGATATTGGGCAATAGGTTTACAGACAATAGTTGAGTGGGGGCTACTGGTGGAGAGCCTGGAGGCGTATATGAATAAGAAGTATTCGGGGTACTTTTGATAGTAGTAGTAGTAGTACTTGTAGTTGTAGGATAGTTAGGAATAGTATTAAAATTATAGGCCTGTGATAGTGATGACGTGGAACCGGAAGTGGACCTGGATGTTAATGCTTCGGACTCGGTGTCTACGATCAGCGGAATTCTTGGGTCTTGTAATGTGTATTTGTTTTGTCGTTGAGCGCCTGAAGTGTGTGGGCTTTGCCAGTGCGGAGGAATGGAGACCAGAGATGGTGACGTGGCGTGTAGTGCCCGTGGGTTTGGAGTGCGGGTTGAACTTGTTTGTTGTGACTCTTGAGATCTGGTGGCGGGGTTAGGAACAGGTCGTTTGCCAGAACGTGTGTTGTGGGGCCTGTCCGTTATGCCAGCGATCGGGAATTGCTTACCGTATAATTGTTATAATGGTGATGTGGCAGTTATTGCGAATGAAGAGTTTTGGCCAGAATCCTGCCGATTGCGCCAAATGTGGTGTTAGTGGTATTCTGTCCGACTTAATTAACAATAAAATATTTATTTATTAGCACACAATCACATAAAATACAATTAAAAGTAGAAAACAATTCATTTTTAAGAATTTAGAAAACAAGTTATAGGTTTGAGGGTAAAAGCCAATCTGTTATACAATTTTAATTATCAGTAGATTCAGAGTTTTAACATATGGGAAATCTTAATTAATAAAAGTTTTAGAAAAGTAATTTAATTATAAGGAATAATAGGCGGCAATAAATAGCATAAAATTAGGCAAATAATAGGCAAATAATGTAGTGTGAATTTATTCATCACACTCCCCCGTTGTTAGATTAGGGTCGGGGCGGAGATAAAACGACTCGAGTTGATTAACGTGGGCGTTTATCAGCGGTCCGGTTGAGTCCAATAGTTGAATACGATAGGTCAGGTCATTCAGTAGTCTTTCCATCACTTTGTACGGTCCTGTGTATTTAGCGGTTAGCTTTGTCTTGTTTGGGTGGTTGTCAGGTACACGCTTTTTAACAGTGTCTCCAATATTGAAGATCATGTCTTTGTGTTTCGCATCGTATTCGGCTTTCTTCTTGTCTTTGGCGACTGTAGTTCGGGTAACGGCGAGTATACGTGCTTCTGGTAGTGGAGTCGGATCAGGTTCAGTGGTGGTGCCATACATCAGGTAAACTGGTGCAAATCCTGTAACGGTGTGAATAGAGTTAAATTCAACACTACTTTTACAATAAAATCGGATGTTTGTAACGTATAAATTATTTGAATCTGTATGTGTCTATTTGTGTACAGTATTAAGATTCACAATTAGTTTCATTACTAATTTTACTAAAATTATAAAAATAATTATATTGTGGTGTTAGTGGTATTCTGTCCGACTTAATTAACAATAAAATATTTATTTATTAGCACACAATCACATAAAATACAATTAAAAGTAGAAAACAATTCATTTTTAAGAATTTAGAAAACAAGTTATAGGTTTGAGGGTAAAAGCCAATCTGTTATACAATTTTAATTATCAGTAGATTCAGAGTTTTAACATATGGGAAATCTTAATTAATAAAAGTTTTAGAAAAGTAATTTAATTATAAGGAATAATAGGCGGCAATAAATAGCATAAAATTAGGCAAATAATAGGCAAATAATGTAGTGTGAATTTATTCATTACAATATGTAAAGTTAGAGGCCCAACATCCATTAATATACTGAGTTTTATCTATTTTATACTATATATTTATATAGAAATTTGCATTTTACAGTTTGTAAAATTATCACATAAAATATAACAATAATTTCAAGTTTAATTAAATTCAACACTTGTTTTACAATAAAATCGGATGTTTATGTCATAGAAATTATATGTATTATAACATAATCTGATAATTATTATAATACAATATATTAATTCAAAACATGATCTAATAAAAAAAAATATAAAGTTATTTTCTATAACAAAGTTACAAATTATTACAAAAATATTGCAGCTTAGCACAAAAGGATATGAATTATAGACAAATAAATCACTAATCAATTAAACAAACTTAATGTATAACTAGTGTAGTAAAAGTAAATGTTTTACTAAACATTTCCCACGGGTTTTAAACCGTTATCAATAATAGTGTGCTTTGAATATAAGTGTCGCCTATTAATAGAGAAATGATTAATTAATTGGTTATTTGTATTAAGCATGTATTGCTTTAAAACTATCATGTGTGTACAGGTATGGGATAATGTACCATACTGCCCCCTCCCTAACAAGTAAGTAAAATGATAAAATGTCTTATATCAGGCAAGTGTGCCCATACATGCGATCGACATGGTATTAAAATAATGTTATGTCATGTTATGATTTGTCAATACATGCCATAGCGAACTGATTAGGAAAATACCTTTTTATTTGTAATAATAAGTTATTATTAATAAATTGATTTCATTTCATTATAAGTCTCTATCATATGATGCGGACATTATATACAAGTTCGTCGCAAAATGTAATAATTTAGTATTTCACCAATATACTATTTTAAATATTATCTAAAGTTATATACCTTTTGTGTAAATGTGTAGTAAATGTTATATAAAATCAATAAGTTCAAAATAAACCGTAAAGGGTTTGGTATCCGTTTTGACATACCAAGTAGTTTATTATAACAACAATGTGCTTTTTATCACAAACCGCAAAACTATGTTTGGTCATTAACATCTTATATTGTTAACCTTTGATTTATTAAAATAATCTCGGTTTAATAGTTTACTGTATAACAGTTTCAACCAGGAATATTATTATTGTAATAATTATTATATAAATATGTTTAACATGCAATTAATAAATTTAAAATTTATTAAATAATATTATAATTAAATTTGTGCATGGTGATAATGGGGGCCTATACACATTTGTTCAAATTAAAGCACTCTATATATTATTTCTTCCAAGAGCCAAAATCTGGTGTCGCTATTGCCTACCAGTGGTCAATATGCCTCATGGCTTTATTATGCCTCGGATTAACCATCTATGACACTGTTTATGGTAAATATAATATTATGATAATTATCTAATTATTAAAATATACATAAACCTGTGTCAAAAAATTTTGTTATTAAAAACCTAAAATATTTGTTAAGGTACTTTATTAAAACATTAATTTAAACACGTTTACTTTGTATTGTATTCCCAGATGATATTGATTTGTACATATACATCATGGACTCATTTTTATTAACTTTACTAACATCTGAATTTATTGTACGATTATGGTCATGCTCCATACACACACACTTCCGGGGATGGCGGGGTAAAATCCGGTACCTGTGCTCACCCTATCCCATACTGGATCTGACCATCATATTAGTGGCCGCGTCTATACTGTACTATCAGTCCAAAGCACAGATACTAAGCATAGCCCTGAGGGGTGTGAAAATATTTCAGGTGTTTGAGTCGCGGTTCCGCACCTGGAGGTTGATTGTGTCGGTCGTATGGGACCAACGGTTACATCTGGCCATCACTTTCTATATAGCATTGTTAATACTATTGTTGGTATCGTTTTTAATGCACTTGGTAGAAAAGGATGTGAACGATAGCTTTAATACCCTACCGGCCAGTATGTGGTGGACGTTGATTACTATGAGTACGATTGGCTATGGAGATGCTGTGCCAGGTATTAAGTTTTTAATTAATTTAACTAGTAAAAAGTTATCGGGAATGTTTTGTCGACCCATATTTTATAAAATAAATTACTTTATTAAATACATATGATTTAATAAATGGTACCAAATTATAGATTACAGCTTGTAACTTCTCTTTATAAATATTTTATAATTGTATATTTTATAGACAATTTCTATTTTATAAACAATTTCTATTTTATAAAAAATTAATTTAACTTAAATTATTTTAAAATTTATTATTTTTAACCAACGGTTTTATGTAATTATTTAGTTTAATTAATTATTTTTTCTCTCTCAAATGATTAGAACCTACAATAATTTAATTTACATATTTTGACATGTTTATAACAAAATTATTATCTATTTCCATTATTACCAATAGTTTAAAATAGGATTTCTATAATAAATTAAATTCAAACAAATTACATTTATTATTACAATCTATAACTCTGCCTCATAATTATAATAAATCTCTATTTTTGTAAATTATGTATTTTAGAGACGTTTTTGTTATTGTATTAACACATTTTGGTTTTGTTATTAAATTATTTTTTACATAATCAATGATAATTTATCATTATTATCTAACATAATAAATAGTGCTATATTTTATATGAACAACTTTATAGTACGTGTTAAAATAATTCCAAAATATATGCTTTGTTATAGCTTGCACCAATTGTATATCTTAGCCATTCGTACTGTAATTATGTTTATAAATTATGCTTAAATTACAGTTTATTATTTTCTCATAAAACAACATAATTGGCTTAATATAAAAATTAATCTTACTAATTATGAAATGCAATTGATTAGAAACCACCTTGGGCAAGTTTATAGCTTGCTTATGCATATTGGTTGGCGTTTCAATATTCGCATTACCGGCCGGAATACTGGGCACTGGACTCGCATTAAAAGTATATAATATCCCATTAGTAAATAGACGAACTCACTATCACTATTTTTTGCACCCCTCCATAAAACACTAGGTAGAAAAACAAAACCGTCACAAACGGCTTAACAAACGCCGGGCACCGGCGGCACAACTCATACAATACTACTGGCGATGGTTGGCCACCGACCGACCCGTATCGGGCATCACGATAACCATCGCGGGTCAGTGTCCGGTCACTTACTATATGATGAACAGTCGTGAAAGGCATGCCTACAGGTTTATCGTACGGCTCCGGTATCTGTCGGCTCGCACTCGGTTCAGGTGTCAACTGAACCAATCGCATGATTTGCATCAGGCTATTGACCGGTACGCGAGTGGACAGTCGACTTTGGCCGATGCCGTGCGTGTATTGGCCGTCGAGTTAACTACAGTCCGGTCCGATGTTAGGGATAACGGCGTTAAACTAAATGATTTAAATACAGTGCTATTCACACGACTCCTACCACTGGAGACTAGTCTGAGACACATTGAGAGACAATTTCAATGTCTGACTAACACCACCGGCAGGTGTCGTATAAATGTAGATAAGATAAATAGTGATGGTAGTTATTATTACAGCAATGATTATTATAATTCTGGTGATAATTGTAAAAATAAAATTAATGATTAAATTATTCTTAATATCTTTGTAAATTTTTGATGTAAATTATTTAGCTTTAATTAAATGACATTAAATTAATTAAAAATTAAATGACAGATTTATTAACAGTTAGAGTCATTAAAGTCACGTATAAATTGTTGTCTATACTAAAACATAAATTATTATATTTAATTTTAAAAATTTTCTACAGTTAATTATTTAAAATATAATTTATGTTCAACAATTTATTTTATTTACGGTTGTATAGTAAACTTACATAAGTAATTATAAACAGGGTGTATTTCATTATATTTATTTATCGTCACATTCGCGTGGTTCAGGTTCGCGGCACTGGCCAACTGTCCCATCAATTAACATAACACTCATAATTGCTACGATTATTAATGCTACCATCATCCATTTGTTTATCATGGTCATTATTTGTATGGATCTAATAAAATATTTACCATTATTAATAAAATTCACTCAAAAATTAGTATTTACCGGTTAATTGTATTTTAGTCTTAAATAGGTTTACAAGGCAAATATGATTAAATGTTTTAATAGATATGCGTTGATTTATATAGTTTTAAGCAAGGTTATTTAAATTTATTTACGTTGAATATTACAATCATAGTTTGCGTAGATTGTGACACAGCATATGTAGAATATGACAAACAACTAACTTGCAAATTATAACTATTTACTAAACATTTGTACATTTCAATTTAATATTGTTGTAATTAAGTATTTCCCGGATATAAATTTACCTGAAGATGATAAGCATTTTATAAGAAATTTTTTATAAAAAAAATATTTAGGTAAAAGAAAAATTTAATTATTTTATTCCGATCCGTGCGGCCAGTATTTGTCTGAACGGGGACCAGGAATATGCGGAATTTGTCGCAAGTTATACCCTAAACTTATGGGTAAAATACACATTTGTGCCAATGATAATAAAATTTATTGGGTGTTTATATGTAAAGTGTGTGAGAAAGTTAGAATTTGTCGGTAGATAGCAGAGGGTAGTAATCAGTGTTTACTAATCACTGTAAGAATCGAGGCTTATATGCCGTACTCGGGGTAATTGGCTTATTTTAATTATTGTAAATGCAAATGCTGTATTGCTGTATTGTTGCTTGATTTATTGTGGCTAAAACAATATGATACATTTAATTAATAAACAATACTAAATATTATTTAGTTTTGCAAACATTTTAATTATTTTTATTTTTAACATTATTTCGAGTAGAAACTGTTATTATTTATATCTAGATATTTAGTCATAAAATTTTATTTCTACAAGGTTCACATTGGTGTGTTAACAATCCGGTTTTATTTTATAATTGTAACATTTTACATTGTATATGTAAAATGCGAGTATTTTTCTAATAATTTTTTATCATATTACATTTTAGCCAATCATAGTGACCACGTGTCCGGTGCCGGTCTGTCTAATGTGGACATACGTGTTGTCAAATCAAGGTGATGCGATAATACTACCCGAAATCGTTACTATGAGTACTAATGGTCAATCTACCTATGCTTTTGGAAACATTTGTGACGATTATTGACATCACCCACCCTAAGACATCACCACAAGCAGATCCACAGCAAAGACAAGACAATATCTCACCACAGTTCCACTCAATTCCCAGAAAAAACACACTCAAGCACTGCAAAGCACACACACATTGATTCAATTAGCATTTGACCCACATTTGCAACTCAAACTCACCCTTTTATGACTCGCCTCAGGCATCACTTCCCAAGAACAACACCACTTTCACCACATTTCATCATTCAATACAACTAAATCAAATAACTATGTTTTTTATATTATAACCATATTTAATTGTAATTGTATTTATAATTACATTCATAACTAAAATATGTAAAACATAACACACATTTTGCCACCAAAATCTCGCGCCACACACCACCCATTCACCCACAAATTGTCACCCAAAAACCATAGCAACTCACACACCAAAATATGTTCTCTTTTGAGACATGATGTATATTTTCACTCTAAACTCAGTTCAGTCCAATCATGCAATAAAGTTCAGTTCATTTCAATAAAAACCATTCAAAAGCACAAAACGCTGTCACTTTCATTCACTCACTCTCACTCACTATTTTCAAACGCGAGTCTGTTCCCAAGCATTGACACGTATTCTGCTACTCTGCGTGTGTCTGCAATAGCATTGACCACAAAGTTCTACCGGCTTTTCACTGTCTATTCCACTCGAAAGTTGACCAGCAATACACCCATCATTCCAGTCGTTCGCCCCAAATAATAGAGTTTTTCATTCACAACCGCTAAAAAGTAGCGCCACTCACAAACCGCTGAAATCCAGCGCCCATC